CGACCACGACTGCCGCTGCTCACTACCCTACGACTACTACTACGACTACTACTACTACTACGACTACTAGTACTACAATCAGTACTACTAGTACGACTACTACGACGACTACCAGTACTACTACTCTACTGCTACTACTGCTGCTGCTACTACTAGTACTACTACTACACTACTACAGCAGCTACTACAACAACAACAATTACTACGAAGTGGTGGTCGTCTGCCCGCGCATGTCGGAGGGGGGGGGGGGTGGTACGTCCCTCCCCCCTTGGGAACAGGAGGGGGGGGGGGGGTGGCAGTGACCCCCCTGAGGCTTTCGCATCGGACGCCAGGTTACGGAGAACTATCAAACCCTAGAGGCCTGTGCCAGAAGTCGTGCACGCAGCGTGCTTGGACCGTGGCCTGCTCGCCCTGACGGATGCAAAGCATGGATCTACGTACCTTAAACTGCCAACATCTACCTTTCTCGTAGGGTCCCTGATTCCATGTTAGGGTTTGTAATAAGAACCTGCAGAGATGTAGGTTATGGCCATGATAGTGCGTGTGACCGCAGCCGACAGGAACATACGAATCCTGCTGGAGAGAAGGCTGCATGCAAAGGCTCGATGCATACGTGCACCAAACCCAGATGGCTGGGCTCTTGCAAAGTGCCCGCGTTCCCGCCCACTTCAGGTCTTGGCTGACTGTATGCAGCCGACGCGACCTGCATCATGTTGTAGTGGCTTCCTTTCCCGTGCACAACCTCGGCAGCACCCCGGACCGTGGCGTTTGCGGAGTTCAGCAAGACGGCGGAACAGAAAATGGCGACGGCAAGGGCCGGCCTCCATTTGGGTGCAGAACTTCTCGTTGATCTCGCGGGCGGTGGCAAACCTCATTGGCCACGTCGTGCCCTGTTTTCCAAGCACGGACCACGACACAGTCTTGGGGCAGTGGCTCCATCGAGTCGGGCGCCAGCACCAGCAGCGCGGGGCTGTCTAGGACCTCGTTCCTCAGCTCACGAAGCTCTCAAATGCTTGCGAGCTTGTACGAGCAGAAGCCACGCACATAGTATCAAATCGTAGCCTTCTAGGGCCTAGGCGGCTCCCATGGATCGGCAATGGTGTGGAGCTGCTGNNCGTTCGATCTTGCACGTGGCTTTCAAACTCCTTGAGCCTTGGGCTGCGATGCTGCGGACAGCAACGGACAAGCCGAGCTCCGTGCCAGCTGAGTGAACAGCTCTTTGGACCTTGGCTTCAAGACGAATATCTCGCTGCTCCATGCTGCTCCGTCGTGCCGCTCTGATGAGACATGATGCGCTTTGGCACATTTGTGCAGCCAAGCAACATCCCACGCTGTCCCATTTGCCCAAAGGCACGCTCGCGCAAAGCATCCACGTCGATGCCTGGCGAGGCTCATTGAATCAGTGTCACAGATGTCTAGCAGCTAGCAGAGACACCCTATTCGAACCCCGCCCCGAGAAACAACCTCGAGCCGAGCTCCTGGCTGCCAGTTTCGGCCAGCGTCCGGTTCAACTCCACCGCCTCCTGCAAGGGCCAGGCACGGCAGGACAGTTCCCAGAAGTGCGCTCGCCCCACACCATGCGGGGGCCTTCAT